ATAAAAACTAGAAGATAGTAACTATTTAGATTTTATTTCATGGACATAGTGTAAGCATTCTAACTGAGTGGAAATGATGAAGTAGTTGTTCATTTCAAAATAAGTTGTTGGAGAAACATTACACACAGAGAAAACCAAAATACAACAGAACAGACTGAATCTGGAGCAGAACTGGTTTACGTGATCGCCCACATAATTTGCCAAATATGGATTACAATGTTATGCAATCTTGACCTTGTCACTAATCAAAGTGTGATCAGAGTTTAGTAGACTTTAGCATGATTCTTTAAAACAAGGACTATCATGATTGTGAGACAATCTTGACAGAGAAAATATATATTATACAGGAACCATACCTTGCTTAGTTCTTGTTGATATTGTGGCATTTTCTTCAACATTACTTGGAGGTCTTTCATYGTACTCTGTTTTAAATAGAATATGRGATTTCATACATTTAAAWAAAGAGTTGTAGTCAATTTTTAAAAACGTTTCTTTTATCAAAATGATGTARCTTTACCTTCTCTGTTGTTGATATTCTCTTGTTTGATGCAAACTCCTTGATTTCATCTGATATTTTCCTACATATGAAAATAAGGAACAAGATATTACTTATTATTCAGCCAATACTGCAGTGGCAATGCTTTATCTGTGAAACACAATCTCTGTATCACTGGAATCATCACTATCATCTGCATAGCTTGTGTAGAAGCCCTAAGGGGACTGGTAAGGGCRAGCAAAGATTGGGGACAAAGATTTTGTACTCCCTTTTCTCTGTCCAGCCCTCCCAAGTCCCCTTAGGACCACTATGCATCATTCTATCATATTATGTTACTATTGCTGCTCATCATACACAATTATTCATCAAATAACTGATCCATGAACATGTCACTCTTGTTATCATCACCGTCGTCGTCGTCGTCGTCGTCGTCGTCGTCGTCGTCGTCGTCGTCGTCGTCGTCGTCGTCGTCATAAGCATATCACAGCTATGTGTACAATATATCAAACATTTCACAGTCAACATGATTATTGCTTACCTTGACACATCTGCAATATGTAGGTGGCGAAGTTTCCTCCACATCTCATCATTGTCTGTAACAAAATTGTAAGGAAGTTTGGTACMYTTTAATGCTTGATGCTGTCACAAACGGACACTTTTAATAAAACCTGATGCAATCATTGTTGCAGAAGTGGTCAGCACAATAGACATGTTTATAAATAGTAACTAATAGATATCCTTTGCTGAAACAAAGTTTATATCAGTTGATGGAAAACAAAGAATTTTACTCCAAAGGGTTCTGCAATTGGACAAACAGCCCAACAGCCAGGAACATTTACATGATATATTGTATATTAAATTCTACACATAACTAACCATCAAGTAAAACTTCCTTTTCTGCATCACCAGACTTTGTTATAAATCTTAAAGTTAAAAAAATCAGTTAGAATCACTGCAAATGACATTTAAAGGGATACTGTCAATGGATGACATGCGCGAGTAAACTTGAAAACACTAGGCTAGTGTTTTCAAGTTTTTGACTCCAAGTTCGCGCGACATAAATCAGCTCGTAAACGTAAACAGATCTAGAATATTCCAAAGTGTGTCAAAAGCACCACAAAATGATTTACCTCGAAGGTTATACTTTCAAAGTCCGTTAGAGGTGAGACTGTTACTGCGCATGTCATCCATTGACAGTGTCCCTTTAAGTTGTCTACTTTTTATGTTTACAATAAATGTAATGCTTGACAAGAATAAACAATAATGGCAGACTTACTTATAAACATCATTAGGGATGTTCAAGAGATCATAAGCCATGGCCTGCAATAAAGAACAGTTAATGTACAATTAATTCATTTGCCTCTTGCAATAGCAATTTTTTTACTTTGTGTTATAAAATAATTCTCACAGTGATATCTCAATCAASTTTCAATAGCTTGAATTAAGGGCAAAAAGGGCAATTGGGACATTCTATAGTGGGTGCATATTACGGGATGAACATTTATGACGGGTGACCTCTCCCTCAATAAAGGTACCGCCATATTATTTTCCAGTACAACTTCAATACCTGGAATGTAAGCTCATGAAGTAATGGAGATGTAGGATCAAATGCCCTGCAATAGTATCAACAACAATATTGAGTTTACATACTGTACAACCAGCAAGAAAGAATTACTTATAAGTAGCTGGTAGAGCATTGGTTGTACAAATCCGAGGGTTGTGGGTTCGAATCCCAGTGAGGTCGGAAATGAATTTTTGCCAAATTTATATCCAAGGGTCTTTCTCCCGGAATAACCTTCTTCCTGGTACTATGACTTTCCTTATTTCTATATCATGTATCTCATAGTGCTATGCAGTCCTTACATTCATATTTTTACTTATAAATAATTCTACGTGTGAACAAAAGTTATATGTAGATTTTGTAAACTATTTCTGTAATATCAAGGCACAAAAAATCCCTGTGCATCGAACAAGCAAGAAATAATTACTATAAATAATTCTACATTTGGGCAAAAGTTCAATGAAGATTTTGTATTATTATTTCTGTTATATTGATGCACAAAAATCCCTGTGTATACAGGTACCTGTCAAGAATAAGCAGCTGAGATCTGTGTTTGTGGATACTTCCCTGAGAAAGAAGATAAAGATGAATCCACCATTTGAAAGATCAAACTTTGAAAAAGAATGTTGAAACAAAATGTATTGACAATATATCAGCCAGGATGGAAAAGGATAGAAGAATGAAACTTGAAGGGATGAGAAAAGAAAGACAGTGCAAAAGGGATGGAAGGAAGGAATGGGAAAGGGAGAACTACATGCAGTCATAAGGGAGGCTACTGCAGCTTGTCARCCAAGATGCCCATAAAAACTCCACACTAGATTTTAGCCCTGCATAGCATTGAACTACCTCGCCCATAGAAGGATCATCAGCTTTGTAGGCGTCCAGTTTCCCTTGGACAATATGAGCAAACTCAATCAGCTTTGGTGAATCACTAATAAGAGAAAATGTCAGTAAAGAGAGTTAAAATCTGTATTATGAAATGTCAGAGTTTTACGCTGATTCAGCATGCTGAATATTCAATATCTATTCTACAATTTATGTATTGTACAAATTCTAGTAAAACTTACACCTTATCCATTTTTACTTACTTTCTGAATCTAATAGAAGGATATTCTCCCAAGCAGGCACACAATGTTGCAAGCTGTTCACCCATTTTCTATTAAGAAATGAAATGAAAAAGAAAATGGGACAAAAGCCGCAAGTAAAAAAAGAGAAATAAAAATAAATTAGAATATACAATTAAGAAAAAGATAGAAGAAAGATTTGTGTAATTTGTCTAACACTTGTAGAACCTTGTAAACCTCTCTTGTAAATAATCCATTTTATCAGCTCTAAAGTTTGCACAATGACAAACATTTTCTTTTGTCCAATGGTACAACATGAATCCTGTTGATACAATGTAAGTTCTCCCTACATTACCTCCATATACTGTATTCTGTCAGAATTCTCCACAGATGGCTTGTAAAACTTGTCAAAAGCYGAGGCTCTGTCCAGGGAAAACACCTAAAATAGATCAAGAAGTTTATCATGCATCTCATACATGATTTGACTTCTCCCAAGGAGAAAAAGAGTGAACTCTTATGTTAGCAACCATCCTCGAGGTGTCAATCAAGTTGTCACTAACAAAAGAAAATGACGATTGCCGACTTGAGAGATATGTACTATATCTAACAAAATATATACCTGTGATTCATAAGGTAGAAATGCTATATTGATCTCTTTTACWGTCTTGATATCTGGAATTAAACAGGAGAAATACTGTCTATAGCCTCCTTTGAAAGTGTCTCTCCATCTTTTCCCCATTTTTATACCCTTGGGCTACCTGTTTTCTAATAAGACTGCATGGAGGGATCCCAAATAGGGYAAATAGAAGGGTTGTCTATGGAGRAGGCTAYACTTTTTCTTTCTTAGCCCTGATGTAGATGTGCACAGCCCAGGGGGAGGGACTCCAGGGTAAAAGYACCAGGGATGCTCRTTGGAAATTTTCAAAAATACCCCTAAAAAGATCCTAGAAGTCTTGAAAAGAGGGCGTGACTGACTGATTTTTAAACCCTAAGAGATTGCACAAAAAATATTGTTACATCAGTTCCAATGATAAAATGTATAAAATATTTAATCTGTCAAAACAAAACGCAAGGAAAAATCAAGTTGATGCACTCTTTGTCTTCTTTTTGCGACAACCTAAGAGCCAGAAAATACAAATTTCCAGAAACTCAAAATTGGCAGCTTTAATGGTTTAGATTAATGACAGTTTAATGTAATTGAGTCGTAACTTTTGTCTGAGGTAGACATGCATGTGTATCAATGCAAACAATGGTAAAATGCTCATTTTCTGTCAAAATTAAATTGTATCACAAACTTACATTTCCTGATGGACTGCAGGTGAACAAGCAAGTTATCTGGGCAAACTGGGAACAAAAACAATAATTTCAATAGAATTTTTAATTATACAATACCTGGATCAATGATGTCACATGCGAGGGTCTATATCTACTGTACAATGTTATACTGTACCTTCAGTGAAGAAAATATGGGCTGCCTTGTATTTGATTGGATGTTCCTTAAAGTCTGACACAATGATTTTGATTGCCTGRAATGACAGATGATGTTATTTCTCTAAGGTATTGAGTTTGGGAAGAGCTATATCCATCAAACCATGATCTAGCTACATATAACGTTATGGATAACTTTATGAGATGGGAAACGTTATCAGCACCCCTTGTACAACAAGGCCAGAACAAAATAATCAAAATAATATGTTCCTCTAAATAKAAACTTGTTGGATTGATTTCAATTCTTACATTTTCATCTGGTATTAGAATGTAGATGGCTTCAAGCTTTGGCAGAGGCTCCCGTCTCAACTCCAAATTCTCCACGACTGAAACGCAAACGAATTTGTAAATCTTTTCAATAAGCTTCCAACAGATAATAAGCTTACAGTACAACTTTAGTGCATTCTTACTTGTTATTCCCGAATCAATAAGATCGTGCATCTTGATGCATGATGAAATCATCCTTGTACTCAGTTTATCCAACACTAGAGTCTAAAGACAACAGCAAAGTGAGTGAAACACAACTGAAAAGCGAACATCGACATGTCAAACTCACCCTCCATTCACCAGCTTTTTGAAGTGGTTTGAAAAGTTTATCCAAAAATCCTAAAATAGTATGATAAAAAATGTCAGAAATACGATAGTTGACCATAATATTTTTTTGCCCTGTAACACTTACTATGCCCAACAACTGATTTTAGAGACATTTTTCCGAATAAACGTAACGAAAGCAAAATAGATGTCCAATATTTTGAGGAAAAGTCGATCGAATGTTGATGTRTGCTWTGTAGCCTGGCATTGAGACCCTCCCCTGCACAGGGAGCCCAAACATATTTTTAATGCTGATAATTTTTTTTAACTCATAACAGGAGCCCATTAATCTCATAAAGGATATCATCGATTTGTGGATTATTTAATCGTCCCTGTCTAAACTTTGTAATGGAATTGTTTATTTCTTTTATTTTCCTTTTTCAGATTTTTAGGTCTTTTTTTATTTTGTACTATTGTTGTTTAAAGAATTTTGCTTTACCATAGTTAACTATGGTTTTACTAAAGCAATTTGACGAGATAGTTCGTTTTTTTTTTCTGCAAATCATTCGTAGCGAAGATAATAATAAAAACATCCCCATATATGGCACGCTTGTGCCTTCTCGGTGGTTGTCGCCCCTTTCATACCATTGCGCACGTGTCCACCCCGAACATTCTCTAGCTTCTACTGAATCCTGATACTTGATTGGCTAAAACGAATCGGTTAATTTCATGCTTGCTCATGATTGGCTGTTTCCATGGAGAAATTACACTGGATGGGCTTACCCTTCTTGAACGCGGGTCACTTGAAAGAACACATTGGAGCGGCATGTAATGATGAAGGTTAGTACTTTCTTTCCTTCTTTCCTTAATTTTCAAAATGATTAACTCTATTTCTTTGTTCTTGTACATTTTAGGTACAAATTACACCAGCCTTTATGATGAAATAAGTACAGAAAGAATCTATTTATAAAAATTTGACGAAATTCTGGTCGGCAACTTCAGCCCACGTGGAGCGGACCAGAAGCTKCCCTGATACGAAAACTTCCAAAARGTTAGTAAAATAACTTTTCTAAAGCTATTTTATGGAATAGTAATACTGACTGTTCAATTTATTGCTTAATTTTGAATTAGAAGTCTCCTTTTGTGCTATATTTTCGTTTGAAAAGCGAGCAGAGTTTGAACTCAAACTMGTGGCGCCTTGTTGTTCAGTCAAATGGGAACGCCGTGAAAATTTCAACCTCGAAGATCTTTTGCGCGCCAACATTCTTTCTTTGAATTCTGAATTAAACTTTCTCATTTAATTTCAGGAAAAACTCCAAGCTAGMGGTTTTTTTCTGCAAAAATATCAGAAAATACACTACTGAAGTCATTCTGCAACGCTGAACGCCTTCGCGTTCAAGGTACGCACTTCAAATTCACCACAAAGTAACAATTTACCAATATTTTATTTTAACATTGTTCTAAAAACGATGCTTTTAATTAACTTCCATTGAGAAATTATATGTTTTTAAAGTTTTGTTTAATATTTTTGAATTTTGAAGACTGTCGGTTTTGGCGCCATTTTTTAACCTGCGTGGAGTCTCTCTGTAAATCGGTTCAAGACTATTTTCGATGCATTACTGATAAATTCTAATTCGTTAAGCTGCTTTTTTCAGATATTTATTGATAATTTTACCTTTTCAGCGCCCTTTCAGCTGGTACTCAATGAAAACAAGAGCTCAGCATTACAATACTGAAACACCGCGGAGAATGAAGGTATGTACAACACGGCTTTGTACAATTGTATAGTTGATTAGCGCATTGTCTGATAATTCATTGCAATGACACTGGAAAAAATCGTTCACTTTAAAAGGTTGTAAATTTGATGTAAATATTATGTAAGTGTCCAAAATGATGTAAATTTGATGTAAATTTGATGCTTAAATTTGATGTAAATTTACATCAAATTTACATCATTTTGGACACTTACATAATATTTACATCAAATTTACAACATTTAAAGCGCGCGAATTTTTCCAGTGTGATGGTGCAATACTTGTTTTTTTGTTTTATGTTATTTTTTTGCTTGTTATTTTTGCTGTTTTTTTTTTATTAAATCCGTCAATAATTCCGCCACTAAAATAATTCGCTTTGTTAAATTCGATATGAAATATATCGTTCCTCTTGTGAATTTTACTTTGTTAAAAAATTCAATAAACGATGTTAACGGCAAAATATTATAACATTTCTCATTGACATTTTTTTGAATTATTTTTAGAATGGTGAAGAATCAAGGTGTTTCTGTTGTCCATTGAAGAATAAAGGCGTGGTCCACGGGAAGGATGCGTGCAGACATCAAAACCATTCATTAGTCAACTACAGATGAAGACCAAGTACAGATGAAGACTTCGAGCATGTGTTGGACGCACATGCGAGGTTAAAACTTTCTTTTTTAGGGTGGTTCTCCCCATAGTTTAACAAGGGTCAATTGGCTTTTCTCACTATTTCCACGTTGCGGTTAGGACGTGTTGACTGGAGCTGAAAATTATTTTTTTTAGTGGACGCTTTAACCAGGACTTTATCGGCACCATTTTTGGAACTGAGGAACTCTTCGGGTTAGGTTATAACTATTCTTGTTGTTTCTTCTTTCAGCTAACTTAGTTTCCGGCTTTCGATCTGTGCTCACTTTGGCATCGATTGACCTCCGCCACCTCGGCTCTAAATTTGCGCAAAAATATTCTATGTTGAGCACTTGCGGCTAGGTATTCAAGAAGAGCTCCTCTTTTCTGTAAATGGTGTAAAAAAAATACGTTGTACATTGTTTACGGCTAGTTTTCCAGTCTGCAAATATAACTACCCCTGGGCGTGTGTATTTGTATGGCTATGCAGGGTACATCCTGCGTCTTTTTGTCCTGGTGGAAGTGATTTTTTGAGGAATTGATGCTTTGTCTTTTCCATTCTTGGGGCTGTTGGCACTTGACTCTGGTTGTGTTGATCTTTGGATCGGTGCACCAGAGGGTAGCCTTGTAAGTACTCTTGCAATGGCTGAGTAAGTATCTTTTAACCAAGTGTCTGACAAGTGGGGGTCCTATGACTATGACTGGGGTCCTTTGTATGGTGGGACTAGCCCTTAAGCTATACACTGGACTTCCCCATTTATGGACAATACAGAGAACAAATCCTCGTGAAAGTTGCCTTATTACTAGAGGTATGTGCTATAGTGGTACATACCTGTGGAATGCAGGCTTCTTTTGCATAAAATCTAGGTGCAAAATAGGTCACTCCCACATTCCTTGTTGTTGACATTGTTGTTTTTTTGCATTATATAGTTATGTTTGTTATGCATTCAGTTATGAGTATTGAGTATGTTTATTCATGCATGTTTTATGTTATTATTGCAATTAGACAATCTTAGGCCGTCAGAGTGCTTTTAGTGTTTGCTAGTTCATGTTAATTATAGCTTGCACGGCTGGAATGAGGTTGATCCGCTTGGATTGGCATGGCAAGCCCTGCTTGACGTGCTGGTACAGGGGACCCTTGTCGAAGCTCTGCCATAGATTAATTTAGCTTTTTTTTCACCCCTCAGTGTTCAGTTCAGGCACTCTGACACATAGACTCTTTCATTTTCTCTTCTGTTTTTTTACTTAAGATAAAAGATAAAAAAATAATAATTTCGCTTTCAATTTCAACTTTATGGCCGGTTTCAAATATTTTGGTACTCAACAATTCTGGTCACCGCCTCGAAGATTATTGGGTAGTCCAATTCGGTCACGGTACTCAACTATTCTGGTCACCACCTCGAAGATTAATGGGTCCTCAAAATCGGTCACGGTACTCAACTATTCTGGTCGACAATGGTGGTGGAAAAATATGGTCTCCACATGGACTAGAGTCCGTACCTTTGAATTTTCTTGATTAGTATGTTTTCATTTCCAATAGGCAGTTTACTGTTGTAAAAAAGAAATGTAAATAAGGCAATTGTAGGAATTAGATTTCTATTCATGATTGTAAATTCACAATGTAATTGACTCAAGACTAGAATTAGGTATAAATTAGGACGTCGTTGGTGACTGCAACCCTTGAGATATCTGTAAGTATGACTGGTAAGTATGTCGCTTGGACGCAGATGCCATTCAAAAACATCCAAAGAAATAATTTTATGTGCAATAATTGAAAAAAAGCAAATTTCAATTGAATGTTCAATCATGTTGACATCATGTCTGGAAAAAATCAATATTCAAGAAATTTATGATCTTGCAGTCAAAAACTTATGATCAAATGAATTCAATAGAAATGAGAAATGGAAGAAGACCTTGCTGCAGTTTTTCATTGGTATAGAATTTCAGACCAGAATTATTTCACAGCTATTGCATTTTATTATGATTCTAATTGAAATCATTCAGTTTTTTCARCAGTGACCAGCTGAAACATCTTATAGACAATTAAGAGCAACAATTTAAAGTAGTGAGTATAAGCGAGAGATTCCGACTGGATGGTAAGTGAATAGGTTCAGGAAAACGAGAACGGTAAATAAGAATGCCAGTGATGAAGGAATTGCCAAAATGGGACCTGCTACCCTTTTGAAACTCCGTCAATAGTACCAAACGATGTTGGGCAAGGACCTTGAACATTTGCATTGATCGAGAAAGTTACTACCCTGCACAAAAAAGTTTATAATTCCTCCTGGATAAAGAAACTGAAGACCTGGCAACCAATAAATAAAAGCTTTAGATACATTGAACTACATAAAATGTAATTACTATTTGGATACGAGTAAGAGTCACATGTTCTTGGTGAAATTATATCAATGTCTACAACCTGCTGGCAAGAAGCAACACCCTCTACACAGCAGTGATGGGATTGTAATGAAAAATGACAAGCATCTTGTGGCGATGATGATGATGATGATGATTGAGACATGATGGAGACACGAAATAACAATGTTGCAATCAAGTGCCAAATAATTCAAGACAACAACTCCACTACTTTTTCTAGATTAGTCTTTTTGATGTGGGCAATGTGCCTGTGGATACATATATCCCCATGACTATATTAAGGATAGAGTCATTTCAAATTGATTCTGCAGTTAGATATAAAAAAATATTTGCTCAAATAGCAAATTTTTCAATTATACATGTATTATACAATGGCATATCACTGCCTATCATACTTTTAGCTGTTAATGATGACAATTCTTGTTAATGGATGAAAATTCTTGTTAAGATCTTTGGTCTGTGATGCAATATCACAGTATCTCATCATAATAGAGAATGATTTTGATTAGTTATGAATTTGTCACTTGTTGTAAGTGATAGTCTTTATAAGCTTGCAAAGTTTTTCTATCGACTACGTTACTTAKTTTTTTGGCATTTTGACACTTWACCTGGTYATTATGGTTATCTCYCGTTGATATAAATGAGTTGGTGTGAGAATGAAGTGAGATCAAAGCTATAATACATTATTTTCATCTAAACTAAAAAGTTAAACTAAATCTAAACTTAGCTATAAATTAAACTCACAAACATATGATCAAGAGGGATAACCAATATGACTTTGTAAGATGTCTCTGAGCATGTTCTTGCAGGACCATTTTACATGTAAGTTTGCAAGCTAAAGACTTTGAATCTTAAGGCATAAGTATGCCTGTCATTGGTACTGAAGTTGTAAGTGATGGTGATGGATTGGAATTGA